GTGCACACATGCAAGAGAGAGAGCGAGCGAGAACACCCCAGGGAGTACGGCCATAGTGGAGTTCCTTCTCTATCTTCCTCTCGGGATTTTGGCCATGCACACACATGTCTGGTGTGTTTTTCAAGCTACCAGGTCCAGAACTTGAACCACAAGTCAGCCATGTGGGATCCAGTCACCTTAGCCACCATACCACCAGCTCGCCCTGTATTTCTCTCTTTCTCTTATTTTTAAAGATGTATTTATTTATTTATTATTTTTTAATTTGACCAGAGAGAGACAGGCAATGTGAGAAAGCAAGCCACCAGGTCTGGGACTCAAGCCATGGTCGGCCATGTGAGAGTCTAGTGCCTTAACCACCACACCACCTGCCGGCCCTCCTATTTCTTTTTAAAACTCAGACATTATTTATAACTAAGTGGTTATGTAGTGTTTCCTCTGGGTCATCACTGTGTACTCTGTAACTGCCTCCCATTCTCTGCACGGCTCTCCCCACCTGGAATGGAATATGAGGTGAAGAAATGCTTCACAGGCCAGGAAGTGCCATCCTTAGGAGGAAGGCCTTTGTCCCAAATCGTGCCCCAGTTCCTGGCTGCTCTGGGCAGTTTAACTACTCCAGCCTCCCTCCATTCAGGTCCGAGCAGGCCCATGATGAGCTGGCCAGGGAGAGAGACGGGCTGGCCATGGTGGACCCGCTGCCTGTGTAAGCGGATAGATTCACTTCGGAGACATCCCAAGGTTGGAAGGAACGGCCCCCAAGGAGAAGCCCGTGTGTGAAAACGGTGGGCCGGTGGGGCAGAAACAAGCCCCCTGGACTCTAGACCCAAGGAGATGCGAACCCTGTATTTAGACCACACCCCAGGACCGCAGAGGAAAGGCCTCACAGCTACCGTTCCTGCTTCTGGTCGTTCAGAAGACATGTCGTGGACCAGAGGACGGGACGACCGAGGCCCCTGACGCTGATCAAGCTCCTGGCTGTTAGGCCGATGGTCTGGAGGAGTGAGGAGAAGATGAGGCTCTCGATGGCTGACATGGGCATCCACAACCCCCTTCATCTGTCCGCGTGCATTTGTCTTTCAAAGGCCCGCCCTCAGGAAATGTCTGCTGAACGAGTGAGCAAGTGCCCACTGTTACACCGTCTGCTGAAAGACACCTTCTCATTCCCATCAACCACAAACCAGCCAGGATCTTTAAGGAATACGGCTTCAAACATCAGCGCTTCACGCCAAGCCTGTTCAACTCCACCACCCGGTGGCAGCCACTGGTTGGTAGGCTTAGGGTTCATTTAAATTTTTTCCTTGACATCTCATAAGTTTTCTATCAAAAATATGCATTATTATTTTTTTTGGAGAGGTTTTTGCTATAGGGCGCGTGCGCTCGCCAGACAAGAGAGAGACATAGAGACAGAAAGCAAGAAATCACCCCCCAGGGGGGATGGCCATGCCGCAATCTCTTCTCTTCCATTCTCCTCTCAGGATCTTGGGCACGCATGCACACATGCCCGGCGTGAGTTTTAAGCCACTGGGTCCAGGACGCGAACCATAGTCGACTACGTGGGAGTCCAGCAACATAGCCATTACGCTAACTGCTGGTTCCTAAAAATATGCATTATTTTTAAACACGGAAAATATAGATTTCCAGAAGGCCGGATGGATCAGCCACTGAGTCTTCAGCTCATGTATGAAACCATCTCAACTGGAGACTAGGAAGACGTGTGCTACGTGACGACGTTGCCATAGTGAAGGACCACACGCGCGATGCTGGTCCCGTAAGGAGCCGTACCGGAGAGCCAGGTATGAGCTAGGCCGCCCCGTCCAGGCTGTCTAAGCACAGTCTAGACCACTCTACGGTCGTCACACAAACGCTAAATTGCCTTATGACTCATTTCATAAAATAATCCCTGTCATTTGATGTATGACTGCGTGTGTTTATTTTACGTCTTTAAATTTGCTACACGCCATGTGAACTCACTGGAGAGAGGGAGCAGAGAGTGTGAGAAAGCACCTCCCCATGGGGTGTGGTCATCCCGCAATCCCTTCTCCAGTTCTCCTTCTGGGATGTTGGGCATGCTCGCACACATGCCTGTGTCTTTAAGGGCACTTGAATCACAGGCTCTGTCATGTGGGATCCAGCTCTTTAACCACCAAGCCACTGGTTGGCCCAACTGTGTATATTTCAATGACAGGCTGCCTCTTCATCGGACCCCAGTAGCTGCCATTTGCAGTGTAAATATGTTTTAGGGCATGGATCAGAAAAGACTGAGTGGGGAGGAGCATGATGATGGAAAGAGAAAAGGGCTGGGGCAGCTGAGCCTCTATAAAAATTATTCTTTTGGGGACAGCAGGTGGCGTGGTGGTTAAGGCACTGGAATCCTACATGGTCGACTATGGTTCAAGTCCCAGACTGGGTGGCTTGCTTGCTTTCTCTCTCTGTCTCTCTGTGGTAAGTGCATGTGCCCTATAGCAAATTTAAAAATAATAATAATAATAAATAAAATTAAAATAAATAATTCTTTTAAAAATTCTTTCTTTTTATTTATTTATTTTTTAATTGCTAGGGGTGCATGTGCTTGCCAGGTAGAGACAGAGGAAGGGAGTGGGAAAAGCTCCTGCAATGGGGCATGGTTATGCCGCAATCCCGTCTCCTCCATTTCTCCCTCCTGGCAGGATTTGCAGACATGCACATGCACACGCACACACACACACACACACACACACACTGGGCATGTTTAATAAGCTGCCAGGACTGGGAATCAAACTGCAGTCTTCCACATGGGATCCGGCTCCCTTAACAAACAGTAAGGGGCCAGCCCTAAACATTATTCCTTTAAATATGGGCAGAAGCATTGATTTCCTTGTCTAATTTGAGAGTGTGATGTAGTCCCTTTGTAATTTACATAGTTTAGACAATAGATTTCTAGAAGAGAGAAAGAACAGAGAAGGGAAAGAACACATTTTTTTTTTTGGGGGGGGTGTTGCTATAGGGCATGTGCGCTCGCCAGACAGACAGACAGAGACAGAGAGATAGAAAGCGAGAAATCACCCCCCAGGGGGGATGGCCATGCCACAATCCTTCTCTATTCTCCTCTCAGGATCCTGGGCACGCACGCACATGCACCTGGTGTGAGTTTAAGTCACCGGCTCCGACATTCGAACTGTGGTCGACCACATGGGAGTCCAGCGACACAGCCATTATGCTAACTGCTGGTCTCTATGCTTACACATTTTTCAAGTTCACTGTCCAATCCTCACCTCAGCTGAGGGTGGGCTGCAAGCATACCCCTTGTTTGCACAGAGCAGACGCCGGTTCCCCTCCCAGCGCCTGCCTACCTCACGGCGTCGCTGCCCGTCTCCTCGCTGACACACTTTGCTGTCAAGCTCATCCTCCCCTTCACTTCCCGTCTCTGCCGTGACTGCTGGCTCCAGGCTGCCGGGCCATGGGCCCTGGGGGCCTACGCATCCTGACACTGGACCCAGGGAATACACAAAAGAGAATGACACTGGGAGGCGATCCCAGAGGGTGAGGATTCCTAACTCAAACCCAGCTCTCAGTGACCAGGCGTTCCAGGCTCACGGGACAGAGAAAGACAAAGCAACCATGTCTCCAGAGCCCCCAGCTATGTCACAACCGACCACAGACGCTGTGTTGGAGAGGCACGCTCTGGGCTGGCGGGAACCACTAACCTGCAGGGCTTCGGACAGGAAGTGGCAGAGAGCCCCCAGGCGGCAAGGCTCAGAGGGCTGGGAGCAGAGTGGGAGGTGTGCAGAGGGGAGGTGCAGGAGGCTGGGCAGCCTGGGAAAGTTCCAGAACATTCTGGACACTAAAGAATCTGCACTGGAGCACAGAGTCGGTGACTCTCCATGGATTTCAGGACCCAGCTTAAGTTTGAAATCTGGGGACCTTGGGTGGCTAGTTGATGATTTTGGCAAACGAGGCTATTCAAACCCACACCAAATACTTAAAACCAACGACTACTTACTATTACCATCATTTCACAAAAGGGCCCTGAACCAAATCTAATAGAAAGGCCTCCCCTCCACCAACAAAGGCACTGGGCGACGTCCTGCTGACGTACATGTGCCACTGCATCGCCCCTGTGGTTCTCAGGTCTCCACACACAGAAATTCCTCAACTGAACTGGGCGCGGACCCCAGATGTAGGACCGAGAGAGACAGGACAGCTGACCCGTGCGCGACACCCTTGTGTAGCCAAGAGGACGTGTGTTTTGTTCGCAAATGAGAAATTCGAAAGGAGGTAAAGCTTATGAGAATGCCAGGCGTGGTGGCCACCGCAGGGCCCATCTGGGTATGACGCCCTTAGGACAATCAAATGCAGCTCGTGTCCCCCAGGGGAGAGAAGTTTCCCACGTCTCCACAACCCCCTAGGCTACACAGCTCAGCGTGGAAGCGGAGGACCAAGTGGGTTTAGTAAACACTGAGACTCAGAAAGGTCATCCTTCGTGCATGGTTTTCTTTTCCGGTGTGTGTGTCTTTAACTACCAGAGGGTGTGTTCACTTATCAGAGAGAGGGAGAAGGAGAAGTTACTCTCCTTGTGGGGTGTGATCACATCACAATCCTTTTCCTATTTTTTCATCCTGTTGGGATTTGGGGAACACACACACGCGTGCTCAGTGTGTTTTTCAGGCCACGAAGGCCAAAGTTCAAACCACACTCAGCCACGTGGGGTCTGACTCCCCTCACCAGTAGGCGCAGGGCCAGCCCGTTCATGCATTTCTATCTGTAGGGCTGGAGTGTGCAAGGGATCCTAGACTGCAGTCAACAAGCCGCGTTCCCCTGACTCACTGGTCCGTGGAAACCCCTCCTCGGGGCTGATGCGGTTTGGGAAGCACCTCGGGCATCCGTGGGTTTATTGGTTATGAGCATTTCGCAGGCGTGGAGTGAAGCAGGGCAAGCTTAGTGAGCAGCAGCGCAGGCACCGAGGAGCACCCAGCGGGTTCTGAACGACAACATGCATGCACCGGCGGCAGGCCCCACCCGTGTACCTCCAGGTCGGAGTTGATGGACGAGACCTCGGAGGAGCTGCTGGAAGACACGCGGGCCCGGATGACCTGCACGGGAGGATACGAGGGGGGCTCCTGCAGGGGTGCGTCTCCAGCGCTTGTCTGTCCATCACCGGGTAGCCTGGTGGCACTGCAGCCTGCCTGCGAGGTGTGTGGGGAAGGGCAGGCAGGGGCTTGAGTTTACTTCCTTCCTTTAAATTGTCAAAAAGCACTTGCACATGTCAATATTCTTTTTTTAAACAAAGTAATTATTTCATTTAACTTCCTTTATTTTAAATTTGAGCAGACAGGGATAGAGTGAGAGGGAGAGAGGAAAAATGAGAAAGCAAGCTGCCAGGTCTGTGACTTGAACCATGGTTGGCCATGTGGGGAGCCCTGTGCCCTTAACCACACGCCACCTGCCGGCGCCCACTTCAATATTCTAAAAGTACAGAAGGGTGTGCAGCGCAGTGTCTGCCTGCACTGTCCTCCCTCTGCCGTCCAGTTCCCACAGGGGCAGCCAGCACTCGGCTGCCCCATATCCTTCCTGGTGCTCTAGACGCTTACAATCAATTGCACACACACACGCGCGAACACACACGTCTCCCCCCTTCCTTCACACTCTCGTATGCACCTTGCTTTTCCTCATCTTACAATGTCTATATCAGTAGTTTCTGGGGGGTTTGGTACCCAGACAGTTCACCAATTTCCACTGTCGGGTGTTTAGAGTATTTCCAGTCTCTTTTTTTATTTCCGCTAGAGGGCACATGCACCTGCCAGAGGGAGACAGAGAGAGGGAGAGGAGCAAGGAGTCCCCCGTGGGGAATGACCGTTCTGTAGCCCCTCTCACTCCACTTCTCCCTTAGTTCAGGGTTTGGGAAGGAATGCACGTGCACCCAGGGCACTTCTCACACTGCCAGTGCAGGACTGGAAACGTGTGGTTCACCATGAAGGACCCGGACCTTAAACACCAGACCACAGAGCTGACCTAATCTCTCGTTTCTATAATCAATACTGGCTATAGGAGGTTACACTGTGCACCCACAACTTCAGGGTAAAGGGCAGGTTACCACAGGTAGAATTGCTGGATCAGTAGGATATGTAGCCCCAGCTAGGTGCTACTTTATAGGATGCGTAAAGTTAGACTTGTGCTCATGGAAATGTGTGTGTCACCTGTGTTTGCTATGAGGGTATTTGGATTGATTAGGGTCTTTGGTGATTCAATAAAATGTGCGGGGGAAAACAGTATAGAAAGCAAATATAGATGCCAGAGACAGTGTGGGAGGAGAGTGGGAGGTGGCAGAGGGTAAGAGATAGGGAATCAAGGATGGGGGGAAAAAAGCAAAACATACAGAAAAGAAATGGAAGATCATTTGCTGACAATAACATGTTTGTTGATGTGCTTGATTGAGACAATATACAGTGTACTCTAGATGGAAAATCTCATTTTGTATGCTGTAATGATGTACAGTGAATGAATGCAAATAAATAAATTAGAAAAAAAAAGAGTTAGTAAGTTTCATTTTTTTAAGTTATTTCATTTTATTTATTCATTCATTTATTTTAATTTGACCAAAGAGAGACAGAGAGGGAAAGTGAGAAAGCAAGCTACCAGGTCCAGGACTTGAACTGTGATCAGCCATGTGGGAGTGTCCAGCAGTTTAACCACCACGTCACCTACTGGCCCCGAGTTGGTAAGTTTCGAGCCAGCTGGTGGTAAGTTTCGAGCCAGCAGGAGTTAAGATGGCTGGATTCCCACACGGCCAACTGGTTCGAGTCTCAGACCCCGTGGCTTGAAATACACATGGGACGTATGTGTGTGTGCCCAGAATCCTGACTGTGGCACGGCCACCCCCTGCTTTCTCTCTTTGGCAAGTGCACACACCCTGTATAAACTAAAAATAAATAAATAGATAAATAAGAGAGACAGTTGAAGGGGGAAAGAAACTTGTGAGATTTTCTGTCTAGATAGATTCTCTCTGTGTAGATTCCTGTGATTTCTGAAATGTCTAACTAGATTCTCTGTCTATGCATTGTCTATCCAACACAGTGGTGGGAGGGGTGTTTCCTCAGCGATCTCCGGAGCCCCACAGGTCGGATTTTGAGGGTCAGCAGGATGTGGGTCACTCCCTGACGCCTGGCAGTGTGGACAGACTGCTTTATGGACTGGCGTGTCCTGCAAATTAGCCATGCGATCTCAGAAAGAAACAAGCCCTGAGTCTCGGTGTCCTCGTCCATAAGGGGTGCAGGGTCATCCCTGCTTTGCCTCTGCTGGCCACTCTGGTGGGCTAGGGGCTCAGATGTAAGTGCCCCTGACACATGGAAAGAAGGGCTGCAAGGACCGGGCCCCCAGGCAAGCTGGACTCCAGCCCTCGACGGTAAGAGCACTTTCACGGGAGGGGCTGGACAGGCTGGCAGAGCTCGTCCACGGAAGCCAAAGGCCGTGTTCTGGAAGCCGCCCAGGAGGGCCGCCCACTGCCAGCCTGAGAAGGCGAAGCAGAAGCCCCTGGGCGTGAGTTCGACATTCAGGCCCGGCCACACCCACGCCAGCAGGCGAACTGGAGGCAGGAGGCAGCCGATCCTCCTGCACCCACGCCCCTGCCCCTCTTGAGGCTCGGCCTGCACCCCTCGGATCTCTTGGAAAATCTCCCGCTGGGACCAGCTAAGGGGTTGCTGAGAAACGAGGAATGCCTCTGTGGTGCCCATTCCAGACGGCCGTGCAGGCAGGGCACCGAGCCGTGCACACGGCCCGCAGGCACCTGTTTCTCACAGCTGCGCCACGGGACGTGCGCACTAAAAAAGAAGAGATCGCGCACCGACCGAGAAGGTGCCAAGCGGCAGTCAGGGAGCGCGTGTTCTGTAAAGCTCGGGCCCCAGAATCGGGCTCAGTCTGAAACCTCGCTGTGATTTGTTTTGTCGTAGGACATATATGCTCGCCAGAGAGAGAGAGAGACAGCACCCCCTGGGGGGACGGCCACGCCACAGTTCCTTCTCCTCCATCCCTGTCTTGAGATTTTGGGCACGCATGCACACACACACACCCAGTGTGATTTCCAAGCCACCGGGTCCAGGGTTCGAACCCCGCAGTCGGCCATGTGGGATCCAGCACCTTAACCTTCACACCACCTGCTGGCCCTGTTCTGTGATTTTTCTTTTTTAACTATGGAATCGTAACCTCTCCAAGTCTCAATTTAAAATAATAAAATTATATTTTTAAAGAATTATTTTTTAAATTTAATTGTATTTGTTCATTCATTTAATTTGACTAGAGAACTAGAGAGAGACATACATGGAGAGATGGAGAGGAAAGTGAGAAAGCAAGCCGCCAGGTCCGGGATTTGAACCGTGGTCAGCCATGTGGGAGTGTCCAGCACCTCAACCACCATGCCACTGCTGGTCCCTAAAATAATAAAATTATTAATAAGAAATAACCTCTCCCATGGGGGTTAGGAGAATTTGTTCTAATAATAACAACCCCCATTTATCAGGTGCTCACTTGGTGTTGGCCGTTATGCCAAGTAAGAGGTGGCACAGTAGAGTGGCCGAGGGCGCAGACGCAGGCGGAGGGAGGCCTGAGCCCTGGTTCACTGACAGACTCTGTGACCTTGAGCCAGTCGCCTAGCCTCTCCGAGCCTGTGTCCTTATCTGTAAAATGAGAGTAAGACCTCAGAGGCTGGCTGTGAGGGTGAGAGGATCATCTATGTAAAGCACTTAGACCAGCACGCTAGCCCACAGTATGACCGCGTGTGTTAGGTGCTGTTATTTACTTATTTACTCAGAGCCTGGCACGCAGCTGGCTCTCAGCGTAGGCTATGATGGGGCCCCAGAGCTGAGGGAGGCAGCCTCCTGCTCAGGCTGGACAGCGAGCCTCCAGGCTGGACAGCGGGCCTCCAGGCTGGACAGTGGGCCTCCAGGCTGGACAGCGGGCCTCCAGGCTGGATAGAGGGCCTCCAGGCTGGACGGAGGGCCCTCCGGTGGGCACAGTAGGGAGAGGCTGCTGGAAGCTCAGATGTACCGCAGTGGGCTGCAATGGGAGATGACAGTGGAGGAACACACTGGCTATTTTTTTTTTTTCTTTTGGAGAGGTTTTTGCTATAGGGCGTGTGCGCTCGCCAGACAGACAGAGAGAGACAGAGTGACAGAAAGTGAGAAATCACCCCCCAGGGGGGATGGCCACGTTGCAATCCCTTCTCCTCCATTCTCATCTCAGGCCCTTGGGCACGCACGCACACATGCCCGGCGTGAATTTAAGCCACCGGGTCCAGGACATGAACCGTGGTCAACTACATGGGAGTTTAGCGACATAGCCATTACACTAACTGCTGGTCCCCACACTGGCTTTTATGGAGTCTGTTTTCTTGCGAGGAGCACAAGACTGAGGTGCCGGAGGGCTAAGGTGAATACAGCTGTTGCACGCTCCTTTTCAGAAGCTCCATATTTAAAACGTGCACGCTTTGGCTGCCGGAGACCCCAGCTTTCCTGAGGGCGGGTGGCTGAGGCGGGCTCCTGGCTGTCAAGGCGGCTCTGACTCTGACCTTCGCTCGCATCACGCAAGGCTATTTGCGCTCCCTGTCCAGACTTAATCTAGGAACCAGTGTGTTCAGGGATGGCTGGGCAGGGGCTGCCACTGAGCCACACGTACAAAACACACCTCTCCTGGGAGCCCGTGGCTACACGACAGGTACCAGGCACTGGTGGTAAATGAGATGGGAGACCCAGCTTACACCCCGATCCCGGCGGGAGACAGACAGCTAACAAGAGCAAGGCGGGTGAGTGCTTTGTAGAGAAGTTTTTAAAATGTTATCTTTCATTTTTTGCTATAGGGTGTGTGCACTTGCCAGAGAGAGAAAGAGAAAAGAAGGGAGAAAGCGCCGCCCGAGGGGGATGGCCACACATCAACCCCTTCTCCAGTCTCCTCTCAGGATTCTGGCCACGCACGCACATGCATCGGGCATGATTTTCAAGCTGCTGGGACTCGAACCACAGAATGGGCCAAGTGGGATCCAGAGCCTTAACCACACCACCTGCTGGCCCTCTGCAGAGAATTTTAAAGGGTAATAAAATTAAGTAATAAGGGGACCAGCAGGTGGCACAGTGATTAAGGCACTGGACACAGGGTCGACCACGGTTCAAGTCCTGGACCTGATGGCTTGTTTTCTCACTTTCCCTCTCTCTCTGTCTCTGTGTGTATGAGTCTGTCTCTCTCTGGTCAAATTAAAATAAGTGAATGAATAAATAAAATAAAAGGAAGTTTAAAAGAAAAAAAAACAAACAAAGAAAACACCAAAAGGTACAAACTAAAATTGAGACAGTCCTTTATAAAGAATAAATAAATAAAATAAAGTAATAGGCAGAGGGATGGAAACCACGTCTACCTGCGTGGCTGGAGAGGCCTCTGGAGAAGGTGACATTTCTGTTGCTTTCTGAAAGATGAGAAAGGCAGCCGTGTAACGAAGCAGACTCGACACAGGAGGAGGCGGCTCTGGGCAGAGGAGCGAAGCCCCCTGTGCAGCAGGCACGGGTGCCAGGCCAAGAGGACAGGTGGAGAGACAGGACAGCCGGGCAGGCGCAGGGCTGGGCCTGGACACGGAGGGGCCTGGGAGTCTTGGCATGGAGTGTGGAGTTTATTCTAAGCAAAACGGGAAGCCAGGGAGTGTTTTAAACAAAGCAGGGACAAGACGTGATTTATGTTTGTAGAAGGGCCTTCTGGCTGCTTGGCCAGACGGGAGGGGGTGGGACGAGAATAGAGGCAGAGGGAGACCAGCTGGGAGGCTGCTGGCCTCCGGGCCTATCTAAGGAAGCATTTACAGGACTCACACATGGACGGAATGGGCGTGGGGCGCGCCGAGGGGAAGAAGGGGTCTGGGCTTGGACAGCTGCACGGACAGTGGCGTCTTTACCGAGAGGAAGAGGGGAGAGGAGCCAGTCTGGGCGGGAAAGGAACCTGTGCTGGACACAGTAAGTGTGAGGCGCCATGTGACGCTGAAGAGGAAGCTGGGCAGCTGAGACTGAGCTGAGGGGAGAGGGAGGGATGGGGACACGCCCCGGGGAGGTCGCTAAGAGCTGGTACTTAGCGGTGTGAGACGAGACGAGACCGAGACCACGAGCGTACGCTGCGAGAGGACCCTCGTCAGACAGGGCTCAGGGCATGCTCCCGGGGAGTCACACCCAGCAGGAGGAGCCAGCAGAGCCTTGGGAAAAGAACAGCCTGGCAGAGCAGCAGAAAAGCCAGGAGAGTAGGGGCCATGGAAACAGAAGAGGCCAGTGGACAAATCAGCTGCACCTCAATTAGAACAGGAATGACTGTGACCAGCCTGCAGCCCGGTGGCTAAGGAGGCTGGAACCCACATGGCCAACCATGCGGTTCGAGTCCCAGACATGGTAGCGTAAGAAACATTCTGGAGGGGGCCAGCAGGTGGCATGGTGACTAAGGCACCGGACACCCACAAGGCTGACCACAGTTCAGTCCTGGACCTGGCAGCTTGCTTTCTCACTTCTCTTTCTCTCTCTGGTGAATGTATGTGCCCTACGGCAAGTTAATAATAAAATTGAAAAATTGAAAAAGAGAAAGCAGTGGGCCGGGCACATGTGCACGCATGCCCGAAATCCCAAAGGAAAAGGGGTTGTAGTGTGACCATTCCCCAGGGGGTGCTTTCTCACTCCCTACCCCGCTCCCTATTTCTCTCCGGCAAGCACATTGGCCCCCTGGCCAAATTAAAAATATAAAATTAATTAATAAATGTTTAAAAGAAATAGCTGTGGATTTAGCAACTTCATCACTGATGACCTTGACGAGAACAATCTTAATGGGAAAAGGGGGTGAACCTGTCACCCCTTTGCAATCCTCTGGCCCCCGAGGACCCCTGCGTGGCGGCCAGAACCCTGGAGTCATCTGGAGCGTCCCCACCCCTCCACCCCCTGCTCCCCGCTGCTCTCAGCTCCTCTCTGCTCCGGCCTAGGTTTGGGCCACACCAGCTCTCGGTCTTCCTGACCGCTCTGTGCCAGCCTCCTCCCCCTCGCCCACTCCCAGCAATGCCCCAGTGAACGCTCTAGAACATCTGACCGCGAGTCTCTAGGACGGCCGCCTGGGCAGCTCTCCTCGCCCTCAGGGTGACAGGCCCCATGTTTGACGATCTGACTTGCCTCCTCTCCACCCACTCCTGAAGGCACGACAATATGCCACGAAATAGGCCTCTTTGGCAAACGGATTATTTTGAGCTAAAGGCAAGTGAGGACCAGAAGCAGCAGGGAAAGCCATTTTCTTACCCCAGCTGCCTAAAAACAGGGTACGTGCCTCCTTCGCTAAAGGAAATGGATGCTTACAACGGAGTTTCCTTGGGACCAGCAGTTAGCGTAAGGGCTATGTTGCTGGACTCTAATGTAGCCAACCGCGGTTCGAGTCTGGACCCAGTGGCTTAAACTCACGCCAGGTGCATGTGTGTGCGTGCGTGCCCAAGATCCCGAGAGGAGAATGGAGGAGAAGGGATTGCGGCGTGACCATCCCCCCTGGGGGGTG